ATTTCAGACAGAATCTGTAAAAGATAATCTTATAACCAAAGTTGTGTTGTTTTCCATTCCTAAACTGGTATTTTGGTTTGGTGAATTTATTTTTATCATTTCTAACTTAAGCAATGTCATTCAGTCACCACTACTAAATATTAAAATAACAGAGCACATTTTTGGAAAGGAAAATTACAGAATTTACTCAAATGCACAAAGCTAACCATCTCAGTCATGACTGAGTGTGCATAAAATACCTGTAGCACAGCCAGGTGAAGTATACAGCCGTTGCTCAACTTCATTTAAAAAAAAAAATCTTGGTATGTGTGTGATTTTTTTTTTTATTATGTATTTTTCATAGGCTAACTCATCCTTTTATAGACAACCTTGAGGAGATTTGAATGTAACACATTAGAAAGCATTTCACAGTTTTTGCATTTTATATGTCCAGCATTAGGACAACTGTAAAGTTGATACCCCTTTAGGGGGATTCATACTCTATGAAAAACATAAATAAAGCTTCAGTTGTACTGATAACGTGAGTTTTTGGAAGAGGGAGTTGTTGGTAAACTTATTGTGATTGCATCAACTTAAAATTTCAAAGTTAACCTAGAATGTAAATACATGGAATATGCCGGGGCGTTTCTTAACTTACAAGCAACTAACAACTTAATTTCTGTTAGTTTGTTTCTTAGTAGTATTGATAGAGCAACAACACTGATTAATTTCTGCAACATTGGTTTTTAATTTTGTTGTTCAAGTGCTTTTCACCGTATCTGTGCTACTGACTCATACTGCTTGGTTGCTTTGTTTGAACCAAAAGGAGTATGTAGAAATAATGGTATAAAATCTTGCAGTTTGTCATTATTTAGCCTTTCCTACATGGTAGCTAACACTGGAAAACTGTGGGTTTTTGCAAGTGACTTGTCCTGAACTTGGTGCCACCTGTATTATTATGATGATCAGTAAACTTTCATGAAATCAGTCAGAATGGTGGATTCTTAAAACGTATTTACATCTTAAAATAATAAAAAATTCTGTCTATAACTTCTATGCAATCTTAAAGTAGGACTATTTTTACAGTGTTAGAATTTGTTCTTCTTTCTCATATTTGGCTAAAACAGAAAGGTGTACTTGAAGAATGATTGTACAAATGGCTTGGATTTGGATGTGCTGACTGTGGTTGAGACATGTTAGAAAATAAGATGTGCAAAAATTTTTTTCTGCATCAGCATAGTGGTTAATCTTGTGGGCTTTTTTCCCCCATGGTACCAAATTTCAGACAGAAGCACAAAAAAATAGTGGAGCAATTATAAAATTCAGTAAAACATATCCAAAACTTTTTTTTTTCTTACACGTGACAGGTATACTCATTAAAGATATAAAAATACCTGTCACACATTTTGCCATATGGCCTTTTGCTATATGTTTTAGGGGGTTTCAGATAGATCGTGTGCATATACAGTCAGTGTATCTGTTGATTGTGCAGTTATCACTGAAGAATCCTGCATTTATTTGCAGTAATTCCAGGAACTGTAATATTAATAGGAACGTGCATGCAGTGACAGAAGAAATCTGATTTCCTTTCTCCAGATTTATTGAAGAAAATGGTATCTTAAAAACCTCTGAAGTAATAGCGAGATATTCAACAGCAAAATACATTTTTAAATTGCTTGTCTTTCTTTCTTCCCATGCAGAAAGTGTAGACAGCAGCTCAGATTTAATTTTATATTTTTTTCTGTTGTTGTAGCCACAGAGACTATAAAGTTTGTATTTTTTTGCATGCTGTTGCATATATATATATATATAATATATCTGAATTTTTAATTTTACAAAAAATCCTCATTTTAAGAAAGTGAAATACTTTTAGGATCAAAATAATTTGTCTTTTTTTTACTCAGAAATCAAATCTAAGGAAATAATATTTATCTTTTGTTAAAAGAATGACTCTAGTCATGTAGGTTTTGTGCCTAAACATTTTTAGAATTTCCCATTCCTTGCAAATCTGCTGGTTGAAGTGAAAAAATACTAGATGGTGATGTTTGGATCAAAGACATTTTTAAAAAGCAAAAATTAAGTCTTCAAAATTGCTACATTTCATAAAATAAAGTTACACAACATTCAAAGAGCATGGTTTGTTTGGCTGTATATCTTTAGTTAAAACAAATATTATATAGGAAGACAGTGTATGAACACTAGCTTCAATCCACAGCTTGTGATTTCTGCTGAGAAACACAGTCAGTTTAAAAATTGCATTCTTACAGATTATCTTTAATATTGTCTCCCAATAATTTAAATCTTGTTTAAAAATAGCAAAGAGAAAAAGACATGGTGTAAATAAAAGATTCCAGTGAGCAATAATATTATAATTTTTTTCAAATGAGAGAATAAAATTAACTCTTATCCTAGCAAAACCAGGACAACTTAGATTACCAGATTTTTTTTTTTAAACAGTGGTTGGCTTATCTATTTTTTATTTATATACATATCTATATAATTTTGTATTGCAATTTTATATATGAATTGCAAAATAGAATTATCTTTTAAATAAGATTAATTTATCGTTTTTATTTTATTTATTGATTTATTTTAACCAGGAGTGACAGCTTTCTGAAACTAGCAATTAACTGTTTTTGAAACCAATGTGAGCCAATACAGCACAGGAAAACCTCTGTGTTCCAGACTGAAAGATGTCCAGAGCATTCCACATGGGCCCATGCAATTCTCTTGACACATGCTGCTGCCTGGAAGTCTACTCATCTGTGATCCCTTTTTGTGGGACCCTTTTGTGTAGGGTCTGCAGATGCCCCCTTGCAGAATACTCATCTAAAAATACTGCTAAAATACTACTGAAAGTCAGTCCAAAGTAAAATTGAAAAGCTGTGTAGGAATCTGTGGTTATCTGAGTCACTTCAAATCAAATGTGTGTAATTCAGCAGTAAAAACATTTGGTTTTAGCTATAGCCCTTGAAACTGTAAGTCTTTTGCACTTTCTTTCTGTTGGTGATGTAGAGAAACTAATTTGACTTGCTGTGTGCAGTACTGACAAGTGTAAAAAATACTCACAAAGCACAGTTAACTTTTTTTAATTGAATCACTATGTTCTGTCTCATTTTGGATACTTTATTTCAGTGCTATACAAGTCTCCAAAAGAGGACCTTATTAGAAATCTCGTGCAGACAGTCCTTGCATTGTTCTCATAAATTTGCTGTTGCCTTCTGTTTTCTTTTAATATGTTGTATGTAGCTGTGACCACTTCCAGTGAGCAAACAAACAAATACAGCTAGAGTTAAATTATTTTAATGTGATCATAAAGCCATAGCTTTCAGTATGGGAAGAGTTCACATGGTTATGTTTGCTGCTTATTTATCATCTAGTTACAGTGTAGTTCAGATAACTGAAATATCAAAAGGTTTAATTGATTTATATAAATGCAAAAACATGTTTTTTCTCTTAAAATTACTCTCTCGCCACTAACACTGTACATCGTTTAATCAGACGATGGGTGCTGCAACAACTAATTCAGGAAAACTCCCTGCCCAGTCTTGTGACTAAAGGAAACCTGGGAGCAGTACCTGTGGAGAGAATTCACCGACTAGTGCAGGAGGAAATGAATGTCTGCTCTGAAGCTGCTGGGAGGTATCCAAGCAACTACAATGCCTGGTCCCATCGCATCTGGGTTTTACAGCATTTGGGAAAGCTGACTGTCAAGGTATAATACAATAATGAATAAAGTCTTAAATTTCCTTGTCTAAAAAAAAAAAAATAAAAAAAAAAATTACTGGTTTGCCAAGCAGATCCTGTGACCTGGATGGAGAGTATCATATTAAGTTAACACAGGTAGCTAAAAATGTTTTTGAAGAACAGACAAAATACTGCAAGGAGTATGTTTTGCATTTTTTTCTTGCAACTCTAGGCAGGTGCTGCTCAGCAGAAAGAACAGATTTTTCTTGCCCATGTAAAAAGTTCTGTTTGTCTGTTGGTACTTAGTGTTAATGAACTTGTGGCAGGAGGGCAGATGAAACTCTGTGAGCTGAAATAAAGAAAAGGCATCTGAGAATAATTCTCCTAGCATTAAGCTTGAAATTCCTAACAGATAAAAGAGATAATACATGACAGATATTATTTTGACAGTGTAACGCAGTGTCTTGTTTTGATACCCTTGTTCAGCTTACCTGTGGTTTTGAAATATTGAAGGATTAAGTAAAGACAGAAGGTATTTTGGATAAAGCATAGTAGTGCTTGTATCTAGTTTCTTGAGCTCGAACAGTATCTTTTGACAGCATTTAAACTGAGGGCTGATCAGGCTATTTCAGCTCCAGCAGAGACATCATACATGGTGGCGAATATTTCAGGTCACGTGGTAGTGTCTAAAACATTGAGGCCTGCAGCAAATTGAATTAGTTAATGTGACGTGGTCTAAAATTATACAGGCAGTTTTGTAATACTGTGGGTTCTAAGCTGTTAGGTGAATTCCTTATGAATATTAGGCTGATACAAGCACTCACACTTCTAACTGCAGCTGCTGCATTTTGCCATCCTGTAAGTACATAGGAAGTGAGGGAGGAATTTAGTGGAGGTCGTTGAGTTGATATAGCTGTTGTTTTTGTGTATTATGGGCCAGCTACTGCTAGCAATGGATGTTCATTTTGCTGATGTTTCCTGTTAGTTGTTACCTGATAAACTTTAAAAATAGCTGTATCAGATTGGTAGTAGATAGTGAGTATGTTCCAGACTCCATGAGGGAGACAGCCCAGAATTTGGACTCATTTGCCTAGCAAGTTTTTATAAAAAGTTAGTTACAGAAAACTCAGAAGAATTACAGGGTTGGGATACATTGGAGGTTAGAAGTCTTTATTAAGAGGAAATGGGGGTTTTCACATAAGTCTTTAATTTTTATTTTTTTTTTTTAAAGAAAGGGGAAAAGGATAGCACTGTTAATTAAAACTCATATAATTTCATGCTTTAGTTAACAGTAGTTTGAAGATCAGGATAACACCCTGGATGCTTTTTGTATTTGCTATTCCTTAGTTATTTAAATAAACAGAAAGAATTGCATTGTGATAGAAATAATTCTTCTCTGGGCTGAAATTATTCTGATGGGTTTATTCATTGGCGGCTGTCAGTGCTTTGTGTGACAAGTCACAAGCATGCCTTTGAAGGAAGTGTTTTAAGTTTGTTCGTTATCTGCCTTACCTGCCATACCAGTTTCTGTACTAGTCTTTTTAGGCTGATTACTAAGGAACTGATAATTTTCTCTAGTTTTGTCCAACTGGCTTTTGTTACCTTTGGCAAAATTTCATTGATGCTGCTGTTCTTTGAGTAGTATATTTAACCCACTGGGAAAGCTGCATGTTGACTCTAGGTTTTTTTCAAGACACCACCAGTGCATCTTTTCAGATGGCCTGGCAGGAGATGTTTGGGATGCAGGAAAATTAGGAAAAAGTGTGGAACATAAAAGATATTGAGAATCTTGAGATAAAATTTGTGCCTAGGTAAAACTTTAAAAGGCAGAATTAGAAAGCGATTATTTGCAAGATGCAATGTGAGGAAAAAAGCAAATACAAAGGAGGACAGGGAAACAGCAGACATTACAGATTTTCATAAAAATGCACAGGTTGTTTTCTTGCTTGATGTCTTGTTTTGTACCTTCAGCCATTTGTGTGTTTTGAATATCTGAAAAGAAAGTTGAATTTCACCGAGATTTAAGACTGGAACTGTGCTGAAAAAAATAGCAGGTAAAACAGTCACTGTGATTCTACAGACATTTGGTTTTTGCAAGGTTGCTTCAAATTAGAGTACCCAGTATTATTTAGGGCCTGATATAATACAAACTTTGCCCGTAGGTTGAGGTCGTTTTTATTACGACGTACAAGAAAAGAGAGGCCCAGAAACATAATATATATGTTGTATTATCATTGAAATAAGACTGCTCAGAACAAGTTTATAATTTGTGAAACTGTTGGCCTGCTTGCAAGGATTTGAGGGGGAGGGTTGTTTGTAAAGGTTTAATCCTAATGCTCCTGCAGACTGAATCTCAGTTCAAACTCTGGGAAAAAGATATGAAATATTAGAGGAGAAATTTTTGGCCCTGTAAGAAGATTTTCTCACAGAATATAGAAGTTTCTTCTTTCTCACACTGAACAGTGGAAAACTTTATCTTGTTTGAATATAGAAAACTCAATTTGTTTTTCCTGCAGAATCTGAACCACATTAGCAAGTTTATGTAGCATTTGAATGGTGTTCATTAATATCAATTAAGGATTTTTCAAGTATAGGTTTTTCCAAACCAATGTAATTTTTCTGATATTTGAGTATTTGCCTCAGAAAAGCACGAGAAAGCTTGACCTCAGCTTTCGCATGTGACAGTACAGTTTGCTGATGGGGGGGAAAAACCTGAGCTCCAGACACCAACTGGTAGGTGGGAGTGTAATTACTTGGAGAACCAGAGTACAAGGGTAATATCAGTATAGTCTGTTAAAATTCATACACATCATGATGCTGTAGAAAAATCATGCAGGTACAAAAATAGGATGTAGTTCAGCAACAATGGACAAATGTCTTTGTTTTCTTTAGACAGGAATATTCAACTTCATAATAATAGGATGGAGAGTGACTGATCAGGCCCTACAATGAAAAAACAAGCAAAGAAACAAGTGGTGGGATGATTGTCATGAGGCAACACCTCTCTTGTGTAGTACCCAGAAGACAGACCTATGTTTCTAAGGCACAAAGTAAATTTTCCTGTAGGCATCCCCATGATGCTAGGAATCATTCTATTTGCTCTGTGCAGGGAGTTAGAATGCATAATTAGAATGTTCCCCTGTAACTTTGTAGCTTATAAACACATCAGATTATTCCGAGATCTAAGTTGGACATAATGTGTGTAGAATCACAGTATTCCAGCTGAATAACAACTGGTCTGATTTTTCTGATGTCGCCCTTGAGCCTTATGTTGTTTTTAATAGGCTTTTAAATTTTAGTGTTCAGAAATTTAATAGCAAGCTCAATTCTGCTGAGAAGAAAGAAGCTGATCCTGTGGTTTCAAGTGCAGAATGGGAGATGGGGAGTTTTAGCCCTCTTAAGAATCCTCTGTGTGGGCTGTTATTTAATAGTGCCCTTTAGTTTACTCATCTGTAAAACAAAGACAATGCTGGTATCTCTGTCAAGACCTAAAAAAGTGTGTTGAGCATCTTAGGTAGAAGGTGCTATTTACATCATTTGTATTTGCTCTAATAGCTTCTAGAATGACACACCATGAAAACAGTGTATAACTAGCCTTTTGCATTTCCATGGTTTTCTTTGTGGGAGGCTGTGCCTCTTGTGCTGCAGGAGAAAAAAAGAAAGACAAGTGCCTATGAGAGTTGCTTTGCATCAGCTGCTCCTGTTAAGTCACGTAGGTAGCTTAGAAAAAGAGATTAAAAGCAAGAATATACCAGTAAGGTTATATTCAAAGTCTTTAGAAGGGAATGGAAAATCTCCAGAGGAGGGGTGATGGGAGGAAAGAGGTTAAAGCCTTTAAAGAAATAAAACCGTAGTTCTAATAGAGGAGTAAAAGAAGCTTTGCCCACTAGCCAAACCCACCTGTCTTCCTAGAAATTCTTCTAGAAATCTTCTTCTCAGTGATGCCCAATGGTCGGACAAGGGGCAGTGGGTGTAAGCTGGAACACAGGAGGTTCCGCTTAAACTTGAGAAGAAACTTCTTTACAGTGAGGGTGACGGAGCACTGGAACAGGCTGCCCAGGGAGGTTGTGGAGTCTCCTTCTCTGGAGACATTCAAGACCCGCTTGGACGCCTTCCTGTGTGATCTCATTTAGGTTCCTGCTCTGGCAGGGGGATTGGACTCGATGATCTTTTGAGGTCCCTTCCAATCCCCAACATTCTGTGATTCTGTGAAATAAATTTTGAAGGTTTAAAAACATTCAGAATTAAGAGAAAATTTGTAGATTTGTAGGTGCCAGCACTGTTACAAATACAGCTGCAGTCACCAGTGTATTTACCACAATTACTGTGAAAGCCTTTCTGGGTGTTTACCAATTGCCAAGTCAAGCAACTTAATTATGGACAAATAGTTTTGTATCCCACAGGCTCTAGGACTTGGAACGTGATGTTAATGTTAGTGGTTGACATTCTTTCCTGGAAAATAAAAGTGTAAATTACTTTATTACTTTAATTAATTTTTTTAAAGCAACTCATCTATACTCTTACACCCATAATGCACTAGTCAAAATAAAATCTATTTTAAAATTAAAACACTTAACTACTACCCATGTAGTTTGATGTACCCTTTTATTCCCCCCCACCCTGTAGGAAGGAGTCTGAGACACCTAACTTTTTAGCGTTTGTAAGAAGTGTAATTTCTTTTTGCAGGGATGCCAAGATACTTGTCAGCACACAATGGGAAAGGCTCAGTTAATTATTTCATTTTTCTGTGTGTTTCTTAAACTATTACCACAATGGCTGAAATCCCCAGAGTATACAGAAACAGTGATGGTAAATTTCCTCCTTTATACTGGTTGATAACTGTTGCTTTTTGTTTCAGGTTCTCCTCGATGAACTTTCATCCTCTAAATACTGGGTGTCCATGCATGTCTCAGACCACAGTGGATTTCATTACCGCCAGTTCTTACTCATGTCCTTGATAAGCAGAACTATGACTGACAATAATGTACTGGTACAAAATCAAATGATAAATAAGCAAAACCCTAGCCTTCAAAAGGAGGAGAGTGCAGGGGCAGAAGCTGCCTGTGCAGAGGAGCAGAGTGTGGATGTCCCCTGCCATTTAGAGGAAGAGTTGGAGCTCTGCACTGAACTGATTGATACTTACCCAGGGCATGAGACCTTGTGGTGTCATAGGTAAGAGGACTTGGTTTAAAGAGCGTTCTTCTGATTTGTGAATTGTTCTTTGCCTCATGTTTCCAAACAAATTGTTGTTCTGATTCTAAAACGTACCACTCAATAAAAGATTTCTAAGCTACCATGTCTTACGCCTTTGCAAAACATTCAAGAGCATAATCAGAACTATTGAATGGAAAATTTGATTGAGCTTAAGTATCTTGTTGATGTAAGCTCCACTTGTCCCTATAGTTTGTGCAAGACACAAGATAATGCTCATAATCCTCCTCACACTTAGAATATTTAAAGGGCAAAAAATGGGCACAAGATAGATCAGCAGCAGCAGACCTCTGCTTTGCCAGCTGAGTATATATGCCTGACTAGGTAACAGCAGATTTGCTAAAGTCATACTGACACCTTTTTTGTAGAGTGTGAGCAGTGACAGCAGATTTTTCTGTCTGTCCGTGAGAGAATCTGGTGGGATGGTAAATGAACTGAAGCAACTGAGCAGCAACAGAAGATTATTTGCAGTGCATGACTTTTTTCTTTTTTTTTTTTTTTCTTTTCTTCCTTCCCTTTCCTTTGAAGAAGGCGTGTGTTCTACCTTCAGCACCACCTAAGCAACCAACTTCCTCTTCAGAGTGCAGTGATATCATCTGTGGACAGCAGTGATGAAACTCTGAATAATTCCCACCACAGTCCTGCAACAAGTCACATGGCACAAGCTATGGATGTTGATGGTTTGAATGAATCCAGCAGCAAACAAGGTTATACCCAAGAAACAAAACGCCTGAAGCGTACTCCTGTGCAGGACTCTCTTGGTCCGGAAATGGAATACCAGTTCATTGATAAAGTATTGTCAACTTGTAGGGATGCAGACCAAGCCAGATTTGCTACTGCCTATAGGAAATGGTTAGTTACTTTTTTAGGTCAGTGAAGGAAGAGTTTAAAGTCTTCAGGGCTCTTCTTTTAGTGCAATATTCTCTTTTCAGACACAAATGCATGTCCTGGTTGCAAATGTTAGCTAAACATGTGTTTCTGACTCTTCTAATGGTCAGTCCTAAAGTTCATGTTCAGAGTAGAAGTCTGTCACTTTATTAAACAACTGTCATACCTGTTTGTTAAGCAAATGCTGCTTGTTCTTTATACCCTTTAAGAAATCAGTCTTTGTCAACTTCCTACCATCCCATTTTCTTATTTTTTAACTTCTGCATTAAGGTGGATTCGGAATCATTTGGCTTTTTTTCTTTAAAAAAAAAAAAAAAGTATGAAATGCCTTTGAAACAGTGTCTGGAAAAAGAATAGAAGGCTCTGTTAGTATTGGTTAAACCTGTTTAGAGGTTGTTCCTCTTTACTATGATGGCATCTTGCTAATACCTTACTGGATTCAGACTGTGTTTGGTGAGTGCTATTACTTTTGTATTAGCAACCTTTGGTAGAGCACTGGACTGCAGTGTTTCTTTCTCAAGGCTCCAGTACCAGTCTTGGAACCATGCCTTTTACTGTTGTAACTGGGTTTTTGTTTGCTTATTAGTTGTCACATGAGTTTGATAGTTAAGTCTATGAAGTTCAAATCCTGAAAAGCAAATGCAGGAAAATGTGACAGAAACACAGTTCAAACACACACACACCTTCACACTTACAGTCAGAGTTATATTTGGAAATACTTTTCTTAGAACAGACTACTTTACCTTCATTTCCTACTTGGTATTTATTTATTTAATCCCAACAATCCAGAATTAATGACACTTCATACACATTTCTGAATGTATTATGTACATTATAGGATCTCAGCCTGCTAAATCACACATTGGTGATTTGTACTTAACCAAGACCATGCAAGTCCAGTAGATGATGGAGTAAAAAGTAATTCTTCTGACTAGTCATTGAGAATATACAATTAAAAAAACCAAACAAACAAAAGCAGGAGGGAACTGTCTCTTTACTTTTGTCATTTTACAGAGCTTCAGTCTTGTTTTTTTTTCTTTTGACTCTTCCTTAAGAGCACTTTTCTAACTATACATTTCTGTTTACATAACTGTAAATTTTAAGGGAATTTGAAACACATTTCTGTTCCAGTGAAATGAAACATGAATGGTTTATTTTGTCATTTCCTTAGAACCTGTCTATATAAGGGATTTTTTACACTAATGGAATTGTGCTGGTCCAAAGAGACAGGGGAGAAACATTGTACAACTGTAGAAGTTTGTACAATGGCAACATCACCTCTGTTCCAAACACACTATTCACTGAGGGGATTAGATTTTCAAGCTAGAGTCTTAGCCAAAATTGCTGTATATTTCTTATGCCCAAAGTGCCTCTTGACTGTGATAAATTTCAAGCTGCTGTTTCTTTTGGGCAGAGAGAGCAACAATGAGGGAGGAAAAACAAAACAAAACAGGTAGCCTGCTCAAAAGGTATCATTTGGAAAGAAAAAAGGCACTTGAAACATGTGGGATTCCACTTTAAACGATTTGATGGATAGGGGTTACTTTTGCATTTCAAAATTAAAATAGACCACCTCTAGTCCTGGAGAGTATGTTCATAATTCATTTCAGGCACAGAATAGCTAACAGACATTTCTAAATGTACTCTCCTCTGTTTACAGTACCTAGGTAAGACTGACCTAGGCTTGAGCATCTCCATGGCATTTTTGTCTCAGTGGGCATCTATACCCCATAGCTAGGATACGTGGCCATTTGTTTTGAGGTGCTCTGGGCTGATGTCTTGATTGATGGTTTTGGTTGTAGAAAAATGTAATCGATGTGTGAAGGAAGTGTAGGAATGTCCTGAGATGATGTCTCTACCGCTGACAAATGGGTAGGTTCATCTACAAACCAGAGTCTGAGCTTAAGAACTTAACTTGAGCAAGGACTTTTACCCATCGTAGAGAACCTGATATTTTTTGAGTATGAAAGATATATTAAAGCATGTGTTGTAGCCTGAGTCAGCTTGATTAACAATATGCCATTAATGACTAATATGAACCTGGAAAGTGTGAAGTCAGGTGGCCGTAATGTATTAAGGATCATGTTCGTGGTCCTAGGTTACTTAAACAGTAATGTAGTTGTGTGTTCTGTTTACCTTGGCAAAAATTACTTGTTGATGATAAAATTATTAGTGGCAGGAGCAGACTGGGAAGTGGGAGCATGATAAATATTTATTGAACTGTAGATGGGAAGAGGTGCTGTCTTCTTGCACTGAAATGATTGAGGTTTTTAGAGGGAAAGATTTATATTAGAACCTGACTTGAAACCCATTACATATTTCTTCCAGACTATAATCTGGAGTCTTAGTTGTCTTTCTTAGAGCTACGTTGTGGAAGTACTGTGCTACTGAATTTGCTAATCTTTCCATCATAAACACTTAAGATCAAACAGCTGCCCTCATATACACATGTGCAGTTCCTATTCATGTCAGCACAGGTTATTCCTACTTGTAGGAAGACAAGATTTAGGCCTGCGTAACTGAACAGAGTTGCATTGCATCTTCATACTTGGAAAATATTCTGAGAGCTCAGATTAGAGATCGTGCCAATATATTTATTACTTTTATGAAACACTAATGACTGTAGTATGACTCTTTAAGTGTGGGTTTTTAAAGTCTACAGCTGAATTAAATACTCCGCCCTCCCCCCCCCTTTTTTCTAAACCCAGTGAGAATAGTTACATGTAGAAATGTTTGCAGACCAGACTCTGCCACACAGAAAAGTAAACAATGAAAATAAAATTGAAACAAGTCTTATCTTCCCCTTTGCAGGAAATGCAAACTATAAACTGTCAAAATCAAGCTTTAATTTTTTTTATGGTAACAATATGAATTATATGAAAGAAGAAAATATTTAACTAAATTATTCAAGCTGTCAATGTCCTGAAGCCTCTTACATGAAATGATTGATGAAATACTTCCAACAGATTACATTAAGGTCACATTAAGCTGTGTGATGTTTTGGAACTGTGATCTTTGGAACACACCTGTCTAACCATTCAATATTACTGCAGAATCCCATTTGGGCACTGCTTGTAAAAAAAGAAAAGTGACTTCGGGCCATTGGTAGTTAACATGCATAAAAGTTACCAAGTACCGCTACTTTAAGTATGTATTTTAGTCCTTTTGTGTTTCAGAGGTCAGAGAATTATAACGTAGTTAATGAACATTCTTGCGAAGAAAATGTCCGTCAGAAGCTGCAGAATACAAGCCTCTCACTCTCTGAAGTTCCTTCAAATATAAAATCAAACCTTTTACATCTGTAAATGTCTTCAAATGTCTTCATATGAAGTTCAGCATTTTTACTGATTTATCTTCTGCTGTAGTATGTGTCATTTGAATTGATGCAAGTTCTTTTTGTTCACTGGATTAGTCTTTGTAGAAATTTCTTTGTGCTAGAAAAAGGGTTTTGAGGAACAAATGTAATTCAAAACTATAGAAATTAGAATAGAAGGAATCACATTTTTAAGGGGATGAATTCTCTGCTGCTAAAGACATTAACTGTTATTTCATTGCTGTTTGGTTTATCTTGTGTGTTACAGTCACTGGAGCAACACGTGCAGCATTAAAGATAGCTACAATAACAAACTTGTATAAAGTTATTGGAATGCATTGCTATAGCTGCTCTTATTAATATTTGTTAATCTACTCATGCCTGTATATTAGTATTTTGTTGACTTCTTACATATTCTTTATACAATCAAATCCTTGTGTCATTTAAATAGAGGGAAAAGTAAATTGTCAGTTTTTACTGTTCAATTAGGTACCTTATATTGAACGTGTTTTAAGACAAATCAGCGAAGTTGTAACATAGTGAGAAAGCTTAGATTCTCTCTTATAATCAAAATTTCTGTCATTTCCAGTTTTATGTTAGCACTGCTTAGAATGTTTAGCTAGTCTTTATGGACAGGAATGAGTTTTTTCCTAAGTAGATAATTAATGATTTTTTAAAACAGTACTGTATAATATTGATGAGCAGAAACGAAGGGTTTTGGAAAGGCTTATCTGCATAGCCAGACTCAACAAGCATACTTTTCCAGAATAATATATAATACAGTTGACTACTAGAGAATAATTTAAGTCATCAGTCTTCAGAGACTTGATGATTGATTTTTTTAACAACGTTGTTTGCTTAGTTTTGTTTTGCCTTCTGTGAGGGAGGAATGTTCCTTAGTTTTTTTGATTTAGTAGGAAGTGAACCATTGCACTTAGTGTGGGGGGGAAAAAAACCCACAACTCCTGAGTTGTGTCTTCTAGGACAATTTTGGAAAAAGCAGCATTGAATTGAAATGTAGATGTTACTTTTAAATACATGTTTGTCCTGTACTCATGGTGATGGGAGGTCTTTACAATTAGATCTTACTGGTTTATTAATGTCGGATAGAAAGGAAAGAGGGTAACTCACCTATTCTCAAATGCACTTAGCACTCAAGTTAGTGTCAAAGGAAGTTCAGTGTCTCTAAGACAATTTTCCTTCTTTATTTCCCCCATGTGCTGAGAGCTGTGTTACCTTCCCAACCTCTTCTCTGTTCTTCAAAACAGCAAAGAAGAATGTAGCAAAGCATTGGTGAGGTGGCCTCCTTCTGTGTTTAGATAGCTCTGACTACCTCCCAAAAAGTGCTCTGATTGATGTCCTTAAGTGGAGTTTGTCAGGCTCTGTTTTTTCAGAACCTCATGTTAGGCCTACATCCTCTTTCAGAGTTGAGAAGCAAAAGCTTTATCTATGAAGCCATCTAGTTTCCCCTGGAGAGTTTAAAGGAGAAAAGGAAAAAAAAATGGAGTTAAAGTTGGGAGAAATAGAATTAGCATAAATTTTTATTAGTCTTTTCCTCTGAAGAAGCAATGTATTGCTGAAAAATGGAGGAATTATGTGCTTCCAAGAAAATCCTTGTAGACAGTTTATGCTTTTGAATTACAGACCTGACACTTTCTGGTGGCTTTTACTTAGTGTGTAATGTTACTTCTCAGGGCATAGTCTATTGTACATTTTTACAGTTTATAATTATAGATTTTTAAAAAAACTATAAATGCTAAACCTGTAATAACTGGCTTTTAAATTTTTTTGTCTGGCAAAGTGT